TTCACATATTGTGCATAAATACATAGCATAGGTGTGAAAAGGTCAGCAGAAGAGCTGCACCTATGCACGTTACCTAAAGGCGCAGGTTCGATTCCTGGTACAGACGAAAATATCTACAAAAATAGTACCTAGAAAAGGATTGAGATCATGTATGGTGAAAATATTGCCTCCTGTACGCGCGATGGTAAAAATATTGAGGGATATGTCTTTATTTCCTATTTTACTTTACACATAAAATTTTATACTTCATGATACCAATAAGTCATAAAACTATTTTTTTACTTTGATAAAAATATTTTTTACGTGAATAACTGGCATGCGAGCAGATACTTCACTTAATTTTAAATTATTACTGCTGCTCCTGGATACTTACAAAACCTAAAGAGTCGCAGATACGTCGTCCGAACCAATCGTCGAAAAATGGCTAAGAGTTAGTGTTAGAAAAATGTAAGCAAGTTCAGTTATGGTGAAAATTTTACAGCACCATCTATGCTATATTTTTGAATCAAACTTGATGCTGTACAGTACTTTAAGCTGAGGCCAATGCGAATTAGTACGCTGTAATGTTACCAGATGGCGTACAAAAGACAGAAATGTAAAAACTATTATGATTGCTTTATTTTAATATTACAAATCTAATTTGACTTTTACAGACTACTATTGACTTCATTTTAATATAATTTTCATCGATTATATTCATGAGCCGCGGCAGAAAGCAGAATCATGACTGTTACCACCTTATCAACAAAAGATTAATTAAGATATGTGTGTAAATTCCATCTACTCAACTGCAAAAATGAATGAATTTACATATAACTTTAGTTCGTTCTGTCTCCAATTCGCCGGGTTCGAATTTCTGATTAGTCTCAACAAGATAGTCAAGTGTAAGAGTTTGTAATATACTTTATCCTTATTTTTTTTTTGGTATTGGGGGGGGGGAAATCTTCGTAAGATACCCTGTCATTCTATGACAGGGTTATGTGGGGTTCTTACCCACTAAAACCCCCTCGGTGGCCACCTTCTGTACGTTTGGAGGGACTCCGGGATCTCCTACGGAACGCACCGGTGTCCCTCGGTACTGGGCGTGAGCAAGCCGCGGAGAAGGATAAACCTTCCCCTATTCCCTCACCATCTTGCAGCAGCTCGAGGCCACTTCGTGCTGCTGCCAATCCATGTCCCCTTTTAGTCGCCTTTTACGACAGGCAGGTGATACCTTAGTCCTATTCTAAAGCCCGGGACTACAGGGCTGACAGGGCAGCACGTCTGCCCCTACCGGCCTGGCGCCCCCGTCTCCGAGCGGGATCGGCCCTTTCCCACTCGGCGATTTCCTTCTGGAGCATAACCACTTCACAGAAGGAGACCAGTGCCCGCCAAGCAGAACTCTCCGCCAGCGCAGCCGCCACGGCTGCTGAAGGAGAAAGATCCTCCCCTATCTTGCGGACAAAGATCCGTCGCTCGGACTCCCATGCAGGACACTCAGCGAGTGTATGTTGCGCGGAGTCCCGTTCCCCTCCACAGTGGTGGCATTGCGTCGTTGGTTCGCGTCTAATTCTGTTTAGGTACTCACCAAAGCACCCATGGCCGGTGAGTACCTGCGTTAGCCGAAACGTGACGTGCGCATACCCCGTCGCATTTAGCCAGGCCTCGAAATTCGGCAGGATTGCGCTGACAACACGCTGGGGCCTGTTCCGTGGCTCTTCCAGCCGCTCGCGCCAAACCTCCAGCGCCCGTACGCGCTCCTGCTTTCGCACCTCTCCCGCATTCAGGGACTCGGCATCCTCCCGTGAAGAACGGAGGCGAGTATAGACTCGCGCATCCAATTCCGCCAGAATGTCCAGTGGAGGAAACCGAGCTAGGACAGTGGCCGCCTCAATGGATATAGTACGATATCCTCGTGCGATCCTGATGGCCATCCTTCGCTGCAGACTATAGATCTTGGCTCTGCAGCGGACTCCCGTTAATCGTTGAGACCAAACGGGCGCACCATAGAGAGCCATCGATCGCACAACCCCCGCATAAAGGCGGCGGACTCCTTCCCTGGGGCCCCCAAGATTTGGCAGCAGTTTGTGCATAGCACCCACCACCTTCTCGATCCGAGGGGCCAAGCGGTTAAAATGTCCTTCGAAGTTCCAGCGGCTATCCAGAGTGAGACCGAGATAATTCATCTCTGATTTCACCTGGATCTGCACGTCACCAACGCGAACCGAGTAACTGGGTGGATCCCTACCTCTGGGGAGTTTATGGAACCAGAGGGCCTCAGTCTTTTGAGGTGCTATTCGTAGACCCAGCTCATGGATTTTTTCCACGACGCAAGCCACACCAAGCTCGGCGAGCCGACTGGTGCTCTCGAAGCTATCCCCGTCGGCAAGTACAAGAGTGTCATCTGCGTAGCAAATGACACTAGCTCCAACGGGGAGACCAATCCGCAGGAAATATACTTTACCCTACTAGTCTAATTTGCAAATGTACTGGGTTTAATTCTCGAGTGAGATGAGAATGTACTTTGTTACTATCTTTTTGTTATTCCTTTTTATTTTCTTGTAAAATTTTGACATCCGATATTGGATAAAAAGTACCTAATAGGCAGAATATCCAATAGTTGCCGAATATTGTTAACCGTACAAATAATTTTAATTTTGTGTTTTGTACAATCACAAAATGAAAACAATTTGTATAAAAATTAAAGGTATTGTTCATAACAGCTTATGTATGTTATAATTACATAATATTTACAGTCACATAACAACACTGAAAAATATGAGTTATAGCGTTCAAAAATACTTGTCTTTTCTTATCAAACCCCATCTTTTAAAATAAATATAACCAATTAACCAATTAACCCAAAACCAATTAACTAAAAACTGCCAGTGAGAAAATAACCTTCCATGCGGCTTCCAAAATATAATGGAAGAACAAGTTCTGTCAATCCCATTTTATTGTATACAGTCCAGTACAAGTTCAAATTTCAATTGCAAAACTCACTCATGTTAAGCACCCAACGCCGCAACTACGTTGACTATGTAATCGACCGTTTTTGTGCTGCTGATAGCTCATCTAGATAAGTGGCAAGCCTTTAAGCACGGTATAACGTTTTACTTTTACTTTGACGGGTGTTTTTGCTTTCAGCCCGTACACCGTTAAAGCTTCATCGAACGCAGAACTCTTGGGAGAGCCAACACCCACAAGCTAGATACGGCCCTCCGCAATCGGTAGAGCCGTGTGTAAGTGCGTTACCTGTTGGGAGAGATGTCACCTACGGGCCGTCGATATTCGGTATTAACCATAATTGCCGTTACCCATATTAATTGGTGGTCGGAGGCGGTGAGAACCTCCCTGGAATGCGCTGTACCTTGTATACTCGTTGGGTATGTTTTAATGATCGATATCGCTTATAATGTTCAATTCTGTTCAATTTATGCTATCAACTTCTAGAACAAGATTCAAGCGTTAATGCGACGACAAATATTTTTTTGTTTATTTATATAAAATACCCTATAAAAATACAGTTATTTACTTGAATGAAAATGTTATATTATTCACACCAATGACAGAGTATCTAATAATAACATAAAAATTTGTTGTTAGCTCTATTATAAAATATTTAAGTTTAATATATTTAAAGTTCTTTATAAGTTTGTACTTAAGATTGTACTTACCCATGTCACATATTTTTTAAGAAAATTTAATAGATATAGAATTAGAATTTATCTGAGAAAAATTTTAATCCCTTAAAGGCTTAAAGCAAGGATGAGCAACGTGCGGCCCGCGGGCCGCTTGCGGCCCCTTAAACATGTTTATGCGGCCCGCCAAGCATTTCTAAAATTGAATTTATTTTATCGAATTATTCCTCCCATCAATATACTGTTATAAAATTAATTATAATAAAATGGTAGTACGTACTGAACCGTAATATTTTTTGTTCATTTCTTGTTTGTTTTTACCTTGCATGAAATCTTTACTTTTTTTTAATTTTATATTTTTTTATTCTAATATTTATTATAAATAAAGTTTCGTCAATTATTTATTATGTGCGGCCCGCCAAAAAATTTTAAATTTAAATTGGCCCATTGATTAAAAAGGTTCCTCACCCCTGGCTTAAAGCATTAAGGTGATTTCCTTTTATTATATAAAAATTTTGCCGCAATATTTGGTATCAGCAAACAGCGCCTGCACTATTCAGAAATATTGCATCGGAGTTTCGCAATACTGGATTTCCTGTAAGGTTCATCTTTAATAATACTGCGCCGTCTATGGTCTACCATCAGTCCCGGATTAACCATGTAGCAAGAGTAGCAATTGCTACGGGCCCCGCGCCAAAGGGGGCCTCGCATATCCACCCACTCATCTCTGCCTAAGCCTCAATTATTCCAGTGAAACTTATTACATAAGTAATAGTATTGAATTGTTTTTTAACAGACTTCAAGGAGGTTCTCAATTCGACTGTATTTTTTTTATCTTTGTTACGACGATTATTTTTTTATTTGATAGCTGGTGCTTCCCATGTGGTCCCATATTCATTTCATTTTCATTGGTATATCAATTTCATTGGTATTGGATCTTGGGTTGCGGAGATACTTTGGGAATTCCTGAAAAATCTCTAATATACAAAATTCTCGTGTCACGGTGTTTGTAATTAAACTCCTCCGAAAAAGCTCGACCGATTTTGGTGAAATTTTGTGTGTATATCGGCCAGGGTGGAGAATCGGACAACATCTATTTTTCATCCCCCTAAATGTTAAGGCTGGTCCACCCCAGACATTTTTTTCTACCCTACAAATAATTTATATGGCAAAACAACGTTTGCCGGGTCAGCTAGTCAATTATAAAATGAATACAGAGCGAGATATTTGAAGTCGGTTTTGTTTTTCGTTAATAAAAAAATGGTTATTTCGACTTTATACTTAAGAACTCATAGCAGATCAAAGGCTAGAAAGATTTTGCTGCGGGCCTCGCGCTTCCTTAATCCGGCACTGTCTAGCATTCAATGACGTTCGTTGTCAGAAAACGGAAGGATAGCGGGTTACCTGAGAACTGGACGTGAACTCGTCGGCCGCCGGCTCCCTGGCGAAGCGCTCGAACTTGAAACTGTTCGACCGATAGAGCTCGTTGTCGTCGCGGGATCGCCGGCCGCGGCAGAACCGCCGCGTGATCGAACTGTGTCTGGAACGTTCGACGTGCCCGTTAACCGCCTCCGGTCAAAGTGAAAGTCAAAGTTAAAGTCAGAATTTGTTTATTCAACATAGGCTTGTTTTAAGCTCTTATTGAACGCCAAAAACTACCACCGGCTCACTAGTCTAGGTCTCGAGAATATAAGACAGTATATCCTCACATTAAGCGAATCGCGTGCTCGGCGGTGAAGGAAAACATCGTGGAGGAACCTGCGTATTTTTGAAATAATAACGAAAATAAATATTTCGAAAATATGTGATGTCAGCCAACCCGCAGTGGGGTCGCGTGGTGGACTATGTCCTGATACCCTCTTTACAGAGGATGCCTTTGCCCAGCTGTGGGACATAGGCTGTTTACTATTTTTAGGGATCCGTACACAAAGGGTAAAACGGGACCCTATTACTAAGACTCCGCTGTCTGCCTGTCCGTCTGTTACCAGGCTGTATCTCATGAACCGTGATATTTAGACAGTTGAAATTTTCACAGATGATGTAGTTCTGTAGTCGCTACAACAACAAATACTAAAAAGCAGAATAAAAAAATATTTAAGTGGGGCTCACGTACAACAGACATGATATTTTTTCTTTTTATAGATAATGGTACGGAACCCTTCGTGCGCAAGTCAGACTCCTACTTGGCCGGTTTTTTAAGTACGAGCTAAATTAAGTATCAGCCTCTTCGTGTCCACTACTTCATGAACAGTGGTGTTTGTGTAGAAAATTGGTTATGTATAACTCTAACACTTCGTTCTTGACCCACTCCATGCAACTAATGTACCTTCATTTTAAAGAAAATTTCTTCAGCTAATTGCGAATGTGGAGTTGTTGAAGACCTTTTCACATTTTGGTTCAGTGTAGTCGATACCATTAATTAGTACTAATTTTATTAGAAATATGGATTTGAACAGTTTACACAATTTATTTCTCCGAAATAGTAATGCTGTAAAACTTGTATTTGAGTTCATGGCTGAAATTGTGTAAGTGAGTTTTGGTAATTGTGTAGTTGCAATTATTGCATCGTTAGTGTGAAACGGGATAGCAACAATAATAATACACCGACATACGCAATACTTAAAGGTCCTTTAACTAAAAAATAAGAAAAAGAATAAATGATAATAACATTACAAAACAACAATAATTATTGTAAAACAGAAATTTAAATAGATAACACTTGAACTGCGGACATCTAGGAAAGAAGAATAAAAAATAGATAAAGAAATTAAACAAGTAGGAGTTCAGTGGCATGCTTACACCATAGACCTATTGTCTATAACTTTCTGTTTTTTTCTTTCACAGAAATTACAACTGAACAAGTCACGTATTGGCGAATCGCCGCCCATGGTCGCTGGAGATGTTACGGAGTTCTAGCCCAACTTGAATCTATCAGCCATCCGAAATAAAAAATCTATCTGAGACCTTGCCCGAATCCTATACGAAAGCTTTGAATAATTTCGAATAGAGAGGGAGTATGTATTGGCCTAAAGGAAAACGCTATGACAGGTTTTTGCCCGGTCACTAGCCGCGTAGTTGGCATAGCTCAGTGAGTTTTATTAAGAATGTGCGATCTTTCAAACAAAGATTTTATTGACTATTATTTCTAGTAAAGCTAAAATAAATATAAATTAGTTATAAATTCGAAGGATACGAAGAAGTAAAATAATTTTATTTAAAATAATATTTTTAAGTAGTTTCATTCTTCAATCTAATATCCTACTATGAGATAATAGTTTTCGTAATAATTTTTATATCCGTAACGTCAACCTATACATACATGTCCAGATCCCAAATATATCCATAACATACCTAATGGTCACTCAAGAGTAGCAGTGAGATTATAGGCATGTTACCAACATATGAAGGGCCTCCTGTAACCCGTTCAAAAACAAAGTACAAAATACAAACACTTTCTCTCTAAGCCCGACATCTAGCTATAGTACAACACTGGTCCAGCTAGCCTATTCGAACATCATGGGCTCTTATGTAAGCTTCTGTCACTCCTCCACGAGAAGAATCTGTTGAATGAGCCTAAGATATCAGAGATATGTATACGAGTTCTTTCTAGTGGAATCTATTACGCAATGCCGTAATATTAAATTATGGAGCGCATGCAATGCTGTGCGTAAAATATCTTGTTTTAGTGCTTATATAAGAAGGACTATAAACGTATATCCTTAAAACATGTTAAATTACTTATAATCAATACAGATATTATATATTTGTTTGTTTCTTTCTTTCTATAAGAAACAAAATTTGAAAACTACTATCCGAAATAAAAGTTACTAATTTGTATTTATTGAGCCACGATAGTTCCGGAACTCGCTGAACCCGGGTGCTCGCTTTTAATTCAATCTTGAGTTCGATCCGCGGTGCCGGTACCATTTAAATAGTTACTTTCAAGTGCTGGCTTATCACGTGCTCAGCGGTGAAGGAAAACATCGTGAGGAAACGTGCATATGTTTTGAAATAATAAACAATGAACGTATTACTTACATAGAGAAAAATAATCATAAGACCACAGGTAGAGTAATTAGTTGTAGTCGGGTTAGTTTAAATTATAAAAGGGAGAAAATTATGTTTCTTGAGCGAAAATAAAAAGTTTACGGAAGTTTTAAATGCTATTGCTTTCACCAGGCACTATTCCTTTCGCCATAGTGTATGCAGTCTCAACTGACTGTTTGCATGTTCAAGCTTAAATTGAAGTATATTGTTGCTCTGAATAACCTTGACTCACGTAACTCAAAAATAAAGTCGAGCAAGTATAAAGTCTTACAGATCTTATTGTAAATTTATTAAATTTCAATCAAATTTTTCTTATTAAAATTTTCAAACAATCGCTTAAAAGCGTAGAGGCTTTTCTACTATAATCTATTTATTTAGAAAAACTACTTTGTAAAGTAGTTTAAGTTCAATAACTTGTAAATAAAGTTACATAGTTATTAAACTTAAACTAATTTACAAAAAAAAAATGCAAATAAAGCATACACGCTTCAGGAACAATTGCAAAACAAAAACTTTGTTAGAAATTTTGTTACTCTTTATCAAACTTTATGACATTTCAAGTCTTTACTGGAATTATCAGAATAAATATTTTCGACAATCTCGAGATAATGGTAACTTCACCATGGTTCCACCATCTGTATTTTGCGTTGCCTTATTTTTAAATGTTAACTGTAAACTATCATATTTACGTTAGGAATTGACAACAGGTGTCCATTTATACTCTTACATAATTTCAAGTTAAAAAAAACACGTTTTAGAAGACACCTAATTTGCCTTATTCTCTTACAAGTAGAATAACAATAATAATCAAGTAAACGACTGTTTTATCTTGTTTTACTGTTGACTGTTTTGTTATTTTACGCTAAACATCTTGAATATTAAAGATCATTTGCCAAAAGTCTAAAATATTGAATAAAATGATTCCAAATAGCGCTCACCTAGTATCACTAGAGTGCAGAGGCCACTGAATACCGAAGATCTTTAGCTTTGCAGGGGGTCGCCGCTTTTGCTCTGAACGTGCATTCTCCTCTACGGGCGGTGTATGATGCCTTGATCCTGATGATGCCCTGGTACCGCTTCTCCGGCGTCGGCGTCGCCGCCTCTCCACCAATATGAAATTATCGCCGTTCCTTATTATATACGACGAGCGCAGAGTCGATTTCTCCTCCCCCTGCCGTTGGCGGATCAAGTCCGCTGTCCGCAGCGTGTGAATGTTCTGGTATTCGGCTTCCGGCGGGGCCGATGACGTCACTTCCCTGCTAGTTCCACTTCCATCCCTTTTCTTGCGGGAGGAATGGAGCCCGACCCGGCGCCAAACCTTTTCCATGAATCTGTATTTCCTGTCATCCCATTATATGGCGGCTCGGTTTCCAATAGTCCCCGACACAAAGCGGCCTCGCGAAGCTACGCGCGCGAAACCTTTGTGTAAAAGCCAAAATGTTTTCGTAGCTTAGTAACCGCGGCGCTAGAAATGTCTCACCGAAAGCACTTAACGAAATAAATAGTACATTCAACCGAATGCTCAGACGATCATTGTCATTGTCTTCAGAACACCACTTAGGAATCACGCACGGTTTTTTCGCAAACGTTCACCGATTGATGACACAAAACACATCGAACATCGGCCCGGGAAAGAGACGGATTAATTATCACTTGTTTAAGAATTTAATAAACTAAATAAGTAAAGAGAAAAGCTTATTTTTGACATCGCACTCACCGAGGTCCCGGCCCTATAGACAGGGTGCGGGCGCCGTATTTACGCATGCGCAGACCTCGCCTGCAATGCTCGTCAAGTAACACTTCCAAAATGGCGGGCTCCGGCCCCTAGCCGATATTGAATATCTAATTTTATCCGTGCAGCAATACAATACCTACAGCTGCATGACAGACAACCCTTCCGTGTGCATAATTTTTTTTTAATGATTTACCCCTCTTTCTAATTTCCGCGCGCAATTTAATTTTTACTCTCGCAACATGAACGTGTAAACGTCTCTATAAAATACTCAACAGTTCTAAGCATTGTTAAGTATTATATATGTATAAAAATATACACTACATTACCCTTAATATTTTTATTAAGGTCTAAAAATAATTAATACATAAGGAAAAATTACAAAACATTGAAATAAATAGAGCTTATGAAGTCGCACACATGACATATTTTAAAAAACTACTGTGATTAATCCTTATTTATCGATTTCCTAATTCGAACCATGCCTGTTTTCTTATTTTTAAAGACACACCTATATCTATACAGCGGCCTTAAACCTTTTATCAACCCGAAAACATCGAATATAATAGAGAAAGACCGTGGAATCTTCTTATTGCAAAGTAATAATAACTGTTGTATGTAACGAGACCAATTCTGATATTTTTTAATGAAAAACTAAGTATTTCTCAGAACATCTCTATATATAAAGTGGATCAAAATGTGTTGCTAAGCGCAAATCTCGAGAACAGCTGAACCGATTTCGCTAATTCTTTTTTTTATAATATTCCATGAAATACGAGGATGGTTCTTACGGAGAGAAAAAAATAAAATAATGCCTAAAAAGGTCTAAAAACGACACTTTTCTAAATTTATACAAAAGATTCGTAATAATACTTAAAAGTCAATTTGAACTTTAATACCATACCATAAAGTTTAAGTGTTAGTGGGGGGGTTCCGGGAAGGCAACACAATTATAAGTGACGTTAGTTTAGTATAAGTATTAATGTCAATATTTGTCATTTTTGTAATAATTTTTTTCTAGATAGAGGAAGGTTTATAGGTATAATACATTGCACCCGTGCGAAGCCGGGGCGGGTCGCTAGTATTTTAATAAAGGAAAGTAAGCCTTTAATTAAGTCTAAGTCCAAGCAATCTTAATTATTATTAAAATTTGAATGATTGTAGAGCAAGTCGTAAAAACAAGGCAGGGTATTAAAAATACCGTAAAATTACCGTAATTTCAGGTAGCTTTGATAAATAAAAGAAAATTATTTCCGCCCATGGAACTTTTCAAAAACGGATGTTATTTTTAAAAGCACATGACCAAGATATTAATGGAATTTAATAACCATTACAATGAAGGAAAAGCAAAGCATAATCGTGAAGACTTGTGCTCATTAACAAGTCTTCACGATTATGCAACTTACCTTTGAACTACACGGCTCTTATGTATATATAATGCATTTTCAACACTTTTAATAGAACCTGCTAACATTTACCAATCGGTCCAAAACTTACTACTAACGTTTCTCTACTTGAAGGGTCTATTAGATTGTTTTGTTGGTTACGTAGGATTACCGGTAATAGTCATGAGGGTATAAATCACCAATGTCACTTTTTCACCTTTGAATTTTTGGTTTGAAAAAGTTCAAAGAAATTGAATTGTTCTGAATTACGCATGGTAAACTTATTCTTATCTAAGAATAAGTTTACCATGTTCACGAATAAATAAGTATACGTGATATGCTCATTCTCACTGAAAGTACTGCTCAGAATTGGCAGCATAATTCTGACTGCTAGCCATATTAACTTGAATAGAGGATATATTTTGCATATTATTTTCTAAAATTTATCATTTTTTTACATTGACGCGACCTACATGCATTATGCAACACATGCTTTAAACCCTGCCATAGCAAAGGCCTAAAGCATGCGTGATGTTTGCAATATGGTAGGAATATTAAGTAGTGTTGCCAATTTTGTGCGTCAGTCAACAAATATATTGGGACCTACAAGCGAACTATCCTTGAAGAACCCCCAGAGTAGAAAAGGGTTACATAATCTTGGTGATACCTACACGCTTGCTTTTAAGATCTGTTTTTCTTTTTTTTATGTGATAAAGTAGCAAGCGAGCTGGAGGTTCACCTGATGTTAAGTGATAACCGACACCCATTGACATTCGCTACACCTGTAGAGTTGCAGATGCTTTGCACCTTTTAATAAAATGAGACGCGGTTACCTCACTCAGACGAAACGCAAACACTTTCACTTCCCCGGACGAACCTGCCACTATTTTACTCTATCGTATAGTTCATTGAAGATAAGTGCAAGTCTTTTGGATCCTAATAAACGATTCGAATTATATCTTATCATCACGGTAACCGCTACTGAATTTAAAATTACTATTTCGCTTGTAAGGCTGTTGCGTTACATCTTAACCTTTGTTATAAAATGTTAGACAAAGGAATCAGAAAGATGGAAAAATTTAGAGAAAGTGCCATTTGTTCATAACAAATAATCTGACCTCGATAGTGCCATCTGCACGTGTTTACAGTAGCGTTTTGCTTCATCCTATCTCATTATCGGAAGAAATACTCTTTGCAACGAGCTTTAAAGCGACAGTGAACATATATAACATACATAACCCCCAACACAACAAGGGCGAACCAAGAGACAAATGAATTTTCATAAATACAAAAATTATTTTAAAAACTCTTCTACACTACTAGTGCAACAAAATGACGAACAAGTTACCATCCAAAAGGCAAGCCTGCATATTTGAATAAAAGTTCATTCTAACATGCATTTAACGGAGTTATAGTTAAAAATTGTTGACTTTCCTATGGACATTTAAAAAAAGTCTGTATTATTGCATTGTCTCAGTTAACATGTTTACGGCGTACATTGAGTCCATAGTTGTGGGGAACTCAATCATTTTCATCATTTTCCCCGTCTAGTGTGGTTCATAACGAATTCCAACTCTCAGTAATTTCATTATCAGCGAGGTTACATTTTGATTCAAGACACTTCGTTATTTTAGCTTAATCTTTCCATGATTGTGGAGTCTTTTGCTCCATTGTGTCAAATCGACTAATAAGCGCCGCGTGAATGCGTTACCTCTCCCACGTGCTGCATTAGTCACACCCCTATCTATCATCATTGGACAGTCACGCCCCATTGGACCCAGGACCGAGATCGTACGCACTAACTCCTGCGCAGCTATGAGACCCTAGTAGATCGTTACGATTACGCGGCGATTACTCAACAACCGAAGCACGCACCGACTCAATTTGAGTTTACGGAGACAATTAGAATAAGTGTCTCAAATCTTATTACATCCTAGTACTATAACTTATTTACAATGATGGATAAATCGTGCTCAGAGCCTAATTTAATGGAACAACTGAGTGAATCATCACCAAATTATAATATAAGTAGGCGCCAAAAGAGAGGCAGAGAACAACATGACTTTGAAGATGATTTTAAATTGTTTCAAGAAGAAATGAAAAGCATGATTACATCATTATTAACGGCGCAACAAAATGAACTAAAAAAGATATGTTCCACACAAGCAGAAATCAAAGAAACGAATAATAATCTCGTGAGCTCGCTTAATTTTGTGACAGAACAAAATGAGGAATTGAAAAAGCAAATTGAAAAATTGGAATTACGAGAAATAAAAGACAGAGAATACATTTATATGCTGGAGGAAAAAATTGAAGACTTGCAACGTGCAAACCGTAAAACCAACTTAGAAATAAAGAATATGCCTAGGACACCAAAAGAGTCTAAAGAAAATTTAATACATATGGTAGAGAAACTAGGAAAGTCTATAAATTGTGACATTCGGAAGGAAATATAAGAGACATCTATAGAGTACCCGCCAAGAAGCCTAATAAGAATGACAATACCCCAATTATAGTCGAATTATCATCCACCATCCTAAAAACGGAGATTTTAATGATGACCAAGGTTTTTAATAATAAGTACAAAGAAAAACTTCGGGCCAAACATTTGGGGGCCACAAAAAATGAAGAAACTTCGGTTTTTGTCTCTGAGCATACTCACTGCAAAGGGAGCTCGACTGTTCTTCTTAGCTCGCGACGTCGCAAAGTCAAGAAATTTTAAATTTTGTTGGACCTCTTACGGGCGAGTATATCTACGAAAAGATGAAAATACACCTGTAATTCTTATTAAGAGTGAAACACAGGTACAAAACTTAATGTTAACAAGCTGACTATATAAAGTTGTAACTTTGTTTTATCTCTATTTTGCAGTTAATTTTTCTTGGAACATATTCTTATATAAAAGTAAACAAATAATTATTACAACACTTACACACATACACATATATCACATGCCTACTCCATTGATTATAAACTATGTAATCTCATACCCATACCTAAGTTTTATCGGTAATAAGTGCACCCACTCTAATACTAACATATACATAGACAATTATTTAAATACTATCTTGTTTTATAGTGCGATGATGATTTTTAAACGATCGATGATGACTATACTTGCCAAACTTTCATTATTAACAAACTTTAAATGAATAACTCTTTAACAAACATAAATGAAATAGACCATATAGAAATAGCGACATCATTTAA